ACCTTCAGTGGCAGTAGCCAGTCGCCAGTACCCCGTACCCCGTGCCCAGTGCTGCTCCATCTTCCCCTTCAGTTCCCAGCTCCAGCTGTCTATCGTCCTTCTACGGCAGACACATTTATCCTGGTCTGCGTTTTGCGTCATTTTCATGCGGGCAACTTTTACGCACTTGCGTCTTAATTACTCACACCGTTGGGGCGCCACACAGCCTCCTCCAGAGCCCTCCCTTCTCCGTCGCGCTACCCACTCGTTGTCGCCACCTGCCAGCCCGACAGCCCGCTTCCATTCTATGTTTGGGCTTAAATCCTTAAGCTCCTTTCACAGTCCTTGCCTCGCCTCGCCTGTCTGTCAGCCTCCTTCCACATTTGATTCTGTTTACCCTGGTCTAGGGCATTACCATTCCCTGCAGCAGTTTGCCAGCTAAAACATTGTTTAATATATTTGATTAGCCTTAAAAGTTGTTTGTGCTCATCGTTCGCTCATCTGTGCTTACGCTTATTACGCGTACTTTTGTTGGAGCTGGTTTTGGCGATGGTTTTTCCTTTTTCGGGGTAGGGTATTTCCGTGTCCGTTAGACAGTCGAAACTTTATTTCCTTTCAGGACTTTTTTCTAGGTTTCGGTTTGAGCCCAAGGAGAAATGTAGGCTAAGCGGTGCTCGCTCATTTGGTTGGAGTTTCTTCCCCTTTTTTATTATTTTTTTTGCACCAAATACTCTCAAAGGAGAAGGGTATACAGCCTATAGAGAGTGGGTTGAAGCAGCACACACTATCGTAGTGATTTTTTCTGTACAAATAAATATTTGGCATCGAAAATATAGACCCATTGCCTCCATCAATCAATTTATGAGACTTGAGGGAAATTCTTCTTTTATTTGTTTTTCTTTTCTTCCCCCAGAGAGCATTCCATCTTCGGTCTGTGGGCTCTCGGCCTCAATCATTCTGTTATCAGAAGAGCGGCTTAGGGGCACACACAGAAACATACATATGTAGGCCTTTTGTAAGGCTCCTTCATCATCATCATCCTTCGAGTTCCCTTCTTCTTGCCCCCCACCCCCCCGCTGCCTGCTGCAACATGTTTGCATTTCATTTGTTAGCAAGTTGTCAACATTTTAGCCAGGCTATAATACTTCACCCACTCTCTCCTGCGGACTCGTTTGTCTCTCTTTTCAGACTCCTAAAACTCCCCCATTAAAGTTTTCGCTTTCTCCAGAGAAGACGCTCCTCCTGTCATTAGTCAAATGTCGCGTTGTGTCATGTGGAGGCGCGCGTGCAGTGAATGTTGGATAAGCCCCGGCGTATGCGGTGTGTGCGCCATAAAACAAATTAATACAGATATTAATCATACGCTGCGTGGGCCACCAAAGGCCAAAGATCAAGAGCTCTGCTTGGGTGGACATCAAACGGCGGGGTCATCATCTCTCTTTTGCGGATTCATAATCCAAATGATGCCCTACGGTGGCGCTGAAACTATGAAATGGAAATTCAAGTCGTAAATGGGTTTCCCCCCCCCGCACCTCTGCCCTCCCCGCTCCACCCACAGTGCCTTCGCTGGTCATAAAAATGAAGTCTAACTTGTTGCGTGTCCTGAAATGCTGAAAGCTTGAAATTGGTTTCGGTTTTTCATGCGGTTCGGGGGGGCCGTCGACGCTCACTCATGCGTCGTGAGAGAGTGGGCGGCCAAGAGAGAGAGAGAGCGAACGCTTTTGAGTGAAACTTTGAGTGAGAAGCCCCGTGTGGCTGCCACAAAATACAGCCTCCTCCCTGGCGTCGAAAGTGGCGCGGAATAGTTTTCGTAGTCCTCGAAAAATTAACCAAGACGAACGAAGCCCCAATGTGAAAGTGGCCCACAGTACGACGCCGTGAAGCGGAACTGTTTGAGGGATTAAGGTCGCTGTTCAAGGATGGATTTGCCCTTTCTTCTATATCGTTTAATTATGGCGAAAGCTCAGGCTTCTACGAATATTTGGTAAAGGAATTCATGGAATGTGAGTCCAAAATTGAGCGAAAAAGAGACAAAAGGTTTAATGAAAGATGTGCAAAAATGTGGACTACAAAGTGTGGGAGATGTCTGGGCCGCAAAGCTATCTCCTAGATACGTTTCAGGTGGAATAGAAGGAGAAATAAATATATTTTCATCTGAATCAAGGAAATGGTCATGAAATTAATGAAAGTGGTTGTGAGTAGAAAGAAATGAATCCTTTTTGGGGAGTTGTGAAGCTGTGAGCTGTGTTCTTGGATGTTCCTTGAGGTTCTCTCTCTTCTCCGTGTCTTTTATAGCTCTTCAGAGCTTCTATATATGCCATATGCTTAGCTCCTCGCAAGGTCTTAAAGCCACTGCCTGTGGCAATATCTCAACTTATTCTGTAGTGGATTTTATTCAATTTTCGCTGCCTGCCTTCCTGCGGTGCTAATTAAATTTGTTGCTTTACTTATTGTTGCGGCCATGCACGCGCTTCCACACACACACACACACACACACACACGCACACTGGGAGTATCACTTTTTATATTTTATGGCGCCCCCCCCTGCACACCCCCTTCTTCCTTTGGCGCCGCTGCCAACTTAATTGCATTTTTTTCAAGTTTGCGATGCGCGCATCGTTTTGCAACTTTCTGCCATGCCCCCCCCCCTGCTCCCCCACGTCTGCCACGCCCACTCAACGCCCAGGCGAGGGGTGCGCTTTGACGCTTATTAAATAATATCTGCATTAAGTTTAATGTTTCGCTTATATTTTATTGAAAACGAATCACTTTAATTATGGTTTCCCTTTTTGGATTTTTCTACCACCGATTCCACAAATATTTCCTTTATTTGAAGGCACATGCTCGTATTTTCCGCATTTCAATTATGAAATTCTGCATTCGTAAATTCGGAAATGGAAATGAGCTAACAAAATATTTTGCGGTATATTTTGTAAACAGTTTTCATGGCTTTCCCGCCCGATAAATTGTATCCCCAAAAATATATATTTTAGATAACATTTTCTATTGGTTTTTGCTGGTGGCTCCGTTTTTATTTGTTTTGCGGCCATAAATTTAATTTTTGCCTAATTAATTTTCGGTGCAAACTTTTCGCTTATCCAGTGAATATTTTAAAACTTTTCCCCGCTTTATTGTTATTCCTTTTTTGGGTGAAATTGTTGACCAATTAAGGTGTTTGCCTGGCAAGTGGGTGAGAGCAGCATTGTTTTGGTTTATTTTAATGAGCCCTATTTAATCATATTAAATATGAACACACAAAGCTAAAGCAAATATTTGTGGGGTCTTTCGGGGGGTAACTAATTAATTTAATTGCAAATTTATAGACACAAATATATTTGAAATGATTATGAAAATAGTTTGTGACAATTAGCTAAATTTGATGTATTTATGTGACAAAATGTGCAGCGAGCGGAGGTTTTTTTTGGGTTTTTTCAAAGGGATTTAAAGGGATTATAATGCAGAAACAGACTTTTTTTTACGCTAGAAATTACATAAATATTTATTTACATTTATCTAAATTGTGGTATACAAATCTTATTGTCATCGCCAGATCTATATAGTCTGTAAATTTCCAGAAATATTCGTAAAACTATTTACATTGTAATATTTAAAAAAATTTTATTTTTTTTATCTATATTTATTTATTTATTTATTATATATTATTTATTGATTATATTTTATTTATTTATTATATTTTATTTATTTATTTTTTATATTTTATTAATTTTTAATATTTTATTTGTGTATTGATTATATTTTATTTATTTTGTATATTTTATATATTTATTTATTTATTTATCATATATTCTTTTATTGAAAAAATCTGTTTAAAATCCTTGAAAAATCCATTTAAATAATTATCGAAGTGGCACCTTTTTCCGCCTGTCCCCCGAAAGTAGACCACACTAAAAAATATTGACATAAAATTGAGCTAAATATGGCCATTAGGCCTTGATTGAACACTTGTTCTGGCGATGCCCCAAACAGCTTAGCCAGAAGCGGCCGGGAACAGAAACCGAGCATTCCAACGTATTTAAGTAGTGTAAATTGCATAGAAAATAACTTCCGTGGCGCTCAGCTTTATGCATTATTCATATGCCTCTGGCCGCAAGGACACCCACACACCCACACACCCACACAGACAGACAGCGATGTAGAGTGAGCGGTAGATTGCTCATACGCCGGGTTGGCCGCATAAAATATTGAAATTGTTGACCAAAACGCAATTTACGCATACATATTGCATATTGACCGATATGTGTTTGTGTTTGTGTGTGTGTGTGTCGAGAGAGAGATTGTATTTGGAATTTGCATATTGTGTAGATTTAGCTGATTTTACTAATATTATTTCTAGTCTGTGATTTTATTTGATTTTCGTAAAGCGAAATGCATATAAATTAAGGGCTTACTGTTTTGCTCTTCTTTTTTTGTTTGGTTTTATTTATTAACTGGCTTTTATTCTGGCTTTGATTTGCTATAAATTCCTTTATAATTGGGTCACACACAGAAAATCCCTTTGACTTATTTTTTGTTGTTGGCTAAAACTAATTGCATTGAAGAATATTATTCGAATGGGATTTATGAAGAAAATTCAATTGAAAATATTGTATTTTGTTGTCGCTTTAAAGCTGACTTTGTGGCCAAATATTTTCTGCTTTCGATATGTATTTTAAGCCCTTTCAACTCTTTCCATTTGTTGGGCATTTCCTACAAGACAAACAATTGCCAGACGGCTGCCCCCCCCCTCCGTCTGTGCCTCCTTGAATTTATGATTTGATTTTAATTAAAATAAATATTTAATGGCTTTCAATAAAGGGGGAACACAAACTTTTCGAGAGGGCAAAGTTGATAGAAAGTGAAAAACTCCTTTAGTTAAACAACAATCTTTCTGCTCTCTTTTTTTTCAACAGGTGTAAATAATTGAGGGCACAAAACTTGGCCCTTATGAGGCGTGTGCGTGTGCGTGTGCCTGTGCATGTGTGTGTGCCTTAATTTGATCAAAAAGGCCAGCAATATGTCCTTGCCCTGCAGGAATCACAACAATTTGCAACAGTTGTTGTCGCCACAGAACATAAATCTGCATTTGTTTATCAACTCAAGGGACAACAATCTAGATTGAAGCCCGTACGAAAAAGAGACTCTGAAAAGGTTAAAGAACTGCAAATCCACACGGCCACAGCATGGCAGCAGCAGCCACAGTCAGCAGTCACTCGGTGGCGGAGGCGAACGAGGGCAAAGCGGATCTGGTGTGCGAGGAGTGCGATTATTACGGCTCCACGGCCACGATACTTATCGATAGCAGCACTCAAACGGACGGCGATGAGGGGGAGGAAGAGGAGGAGGAGGAGGAGGACGATGGTGAAGCGGTGGTGAAGCCCGTTAGGACCAAATTGGCGCAAATTGTGGAGGAGGCCGAGGCGGAAGCGGAGACCGAGGCGGACACACCAGCCACCAATGGCATGCGAAATATCGATAGCGATAGTGTTCGTTGCCCTCCACATGATAGTAATGGCATCGATAACGATAACAGCCTAGATATCGAAACAAATAGCGTGATTGGTGAGGGCCATGCCTTGGAGGAAGCCGAAGAGGAGCACATTCCAAAACCCAGTGAAGATCGGCTGGAAGATATGGAAGCCGAAGAGGAAGTGGAACAGGAAGAAGCACAGGAAGAAGAGCAGGAAGAAGGGCAGGTGGAGGAGCTGGAGCTGGAGCTGGAAGAAGTCGATGAAGACCAAGATCAAATCGATAGCGTGGCCCGTCTCACAGGAATTGCCCTAGAGATGGGCTATGCCCGCATCATAGACTACGATAACTTTCGCATCATCGAACATGTCATCGAAAGCGATGATGATGATGATGGGGATGCGGATGGGGATGTGGCCCAAGGACCGGCTGCCAGTAGCTCGCAGGAACTGCAGCAGGCCTGCCACGATTTGGTGACTTTCATCGGTGAAAGTTATCAGGTAATCGATAGGTCAGGCAATCACGCCCACTACCAATCGCCAGCCCTGGTGCCGATAGTCGATAACAACAACAATAATCGAGCAAGCAACGACAGCCGTGTGGCCCCAGCGACGGGTCGTAAGCCATCGAATGGAATGGATGGAACGGAGCAACTAAATCAAAATCCCTCCACAAGCAGCACAGCCGCTGTGGCAGCAGGGGCCGGGCCCACCAGCAGCACCAGCAGTGCCTTGATTAAGGCATATAAATCGAACCTGACACCATTGGCGCCGCCCTTTCAGCCAGCCGCATTGAAGGCCAAGCAGCAATCGGCTGCAGGGGGCAACACCACCAGCACCAGCAACATGTCACTTGCAACGACAACCACATCGCAGAGCAGCTCCAGCACCAGCACGCTGTATGCGGCTTACGAGCAGACAACGGTCTACTATCAGCAGCAAATGATGCAGCAGCAGCTGCAGCTCCCACTCTTGCAGCAGCAACAGTTGTCCCCCAAGCAGCAGCAACAGCAACAGCAACAACATTGTGCTCAACATGGTGGCATGCCGCACATTCATTTGCCAGCGGGCACGGGAAACGGCGCCCAATTGCTGCCCGTGCAATTGATTACCTTGACGCCGACAGCAGGAGGCGCTGCAACGGCAGCAACAGTAGGAGCCACCGCCCCCACAGTGGCTGCAACAGTCGCTGCCGGGGCATCAGCGGTGGCAGCAGCAGCTCCGACAGCGGCAACATCTTTGACTGGCGCCGCTTGGCCACTTGTGGAGGCGCCAATTTACATAGACATCAATGGGGAATATCGTAGCTTTTGCCCGGCACACGGACCACCAGCAGGGACGGGGCCAAATGGCGCCATAGCCCATCACCATCATCATGGCCATGCCCATGCCCATGCCCATGCCCATGCCCATCCGCACGCACATCATCCCCATGCCCATGTCCATGGCCAGGCCCATGCCCATCATTCCCATTCCCATCTGGCACAGCAGCAACAGCAGCAACAGCAACAGCAACATCTTCATCATCAGCAGCAGCAGCTTCATCATCATCATCAGCAACATGGCCAACATCAGCAACATTCGGCGGCAGTGGCCGCTGTGACAAATGCAGCAGCCTCAGCGCCTCGTTTGTTGCTGCAACTGGACGTTGCAACTGTCCAGCAACAGCAGCAGCAGCAACAACAACAGCAACAGCAACAAATCGTTGCCGCTGGCAAACGCAGCAAAGTTTATCGAGGTGAGTGGCCGTTTTATGACATTTGTTGTACACTTTTTATACGCTCATGATGCCCCTGCCCCTGCCCCAGGGCTATTTGGAGTCCATATAGGAGTATATATATACCATATACTATATAGTATATATAGTATGTGTAGTTTTGTCCAGCCTGCAATAGCCCTACACGAGTATCCCCAAGTCTCTTCCCTGAAAACTTTGGCCATTACTTTATGCTTTGATTCATGAGAGATAGTCCTGCTCCGCCTCCTGTGTCCCCCTTTGCGGTTGGGGCTCCTGCATCCTGGCCTGGCCCATTCAGGGGTTTAATCAGTTAAGCAAAGCCAACAGAGTTGGCCTGGACTGGCCTCTCTCGGCCCAGTCCCAGCCCGGTCAGGGGTTAAAATTAATTTCGAAGCCGTTGGGCGTTTTGGGGGCTGTGCGGCGCTCCTTTTGTGTGATTGTTTGCACTCTCGGAAGCCAAGGGGGGCAAAAGCCATGAGTAAGTTCTTCGGTTTGTTTGTTTGTTTGGTTTATTTGCCAAATAATCTGTTTGTTTGGCTATGCAATAAGTAGTTCTCGGGTTGACATAGGCAGATTGTACTGTACTCTGTTCTGTGCGTGTGTGTGGGTGTGTGCGTGTGCCATCTGAAGATTAAACAGAAAGAGTCAAAGGTGGACTTGCAAATTGAGAGGTAATTGCCTGGGGTTTGACCCCAGGAGTGGAAAATATACCTGGGGCTATGCACAAAAGCTTGTCTAGGACTTGGCCGGCAGTAAAACTATTAAAATATCTAGGATATCCTGTGACAGAGCCCCCAAGGGTCTTTCCACCTTTCTGTCAGGGATAACCTTTTGCTCTGCTTTCCTTTCCATCGTGTCCTGAAAACAGTATCACTTCTCAAATCGCATATCAGAGATATTCTGCCTTCCACTCTTTTTAATCGCCCGACACCTGGCTCTCTGCCCCTCTCCCCCCCCTCTCAATGTGTCATCTAATCCGTTTCACTTTTGACCATTTTTCCGCTGTGAATGAAACCAGGAATTGTTTCAATTTGCATCGAGAGTTCTCTGGTTCCCTGGTATGGATTTCCCCAACCCCAACCCCATCTGTATCTTTTTCCGGCTCTGTTTAATTGTAGATGTGGCATCTCTCTCCCTCTCTCTCTCGGATCAATCCGTAGTGCATATGGAAGTCATCCTCGCCGAGGCGCCGACGGCTGTGTGTTTGTATGCAGATGACACTGTGTCACCAGAGTCGCCTATGGCTCCCCCTTCCACCCTCCTTCTCCCCGCCATTGCATTGCCAAAAGAGCCACGTCCTGTTTTCTGGCCATTTTGTAGGTCCTTCTTTCCTTTTTACTGGTCCGCCACACGCTGTGGTCTTATGGACTCCTTGATGTCCCCGTCCTCCCCCCCTTTTGACCCTTTTCTCACGCACACACCGCGCTTTCCCCACACACAGAGAATGGTTTGTCCATTTTCCCCCTTTTGTTGTGCCGGTTTTTCGCCAATTTTCACTTACACATACGAGTTTTACAATTTTTTAAGCAATTTTTTTCTTGCGCTGCCACCCCAAAGGCTTTTTGCCAAAAACCATTTTTTTATCTCTGTTTAGCCATCAAGCGGCCCTCTGCCGCTCTGCCCCTCTGCCGCTCTGCCCCTCTGCCGGTCTGCCCCTCTGCCGCTCTCCTGCTTGCCCTCTCTTTATCCCCATCTTTGTCTTTCGCCTTCTGTTTGTGTCTCTTTCGCCGTTGTATTTCATTTGCCTTTTACTGTACATTGTCGCCATTTTGCTGATTTCATTTCAAGGATGTTCCAAGAAAAAAAAAATCAAGGGGATTTTTGGAATAAATTCAGGTTTAGAGTTTTTTTTTTGGGAAGATGGGAAGGAAAGGATGGAAAAAACCTTATTTTACGAAACTAAGGGCCTTCCAAAGGATCCATTCTATAAGATCTGGTAAGTAGAATCCCTGTAAACTAAGATTTTCACTGAGCATCAAATATCTACTAAAAATAGCGAAAATAAAATCTTCAGAAAATCTATAAAACTTTCAAAAAAATTCCCAGAAATTCCAAAAATCAAAAAACCGCGATACCCAAATATTTCCACAAGAGAAAAGGTATTTTGGAACCTGAGAATCACTTTGGTTTGTTAGTTTTTCTGCCCGAGTGTGTGTGTGTGTGTGTGTGTGTGTGTGCAAAGTGCGTAGCATGTGGCATGCATCATTCGCCTCAGTCAGTCGCCTGTCGGCTGTCGCCAATGTGCATCCCCATCCCCATCCCCTTCCCCTTCCCCATCCCCATCCACACGTCCGTGTCCATGTGGCACGTCCATGTAGCATGTCCACTTCGATGTCCCCCATGTCCAGTGTCAATTTGTACCATCTCCATTGGCTTTTGGCTGGCAGTTGAGAGAATTCCTTTTCCATTTTCCATTTTTAACATACCGGTTTTTTTTTCCTTCCCATTTTTTTTTTGGGCTCTAGCCAGTGCAGGATCAGCCGCCTGTTGTCATAATTTTAGCACTCACTGTGCATGCTTCATACACTTTTTTGCAGAGAGGGTATGATGGTTTTGATCAGCTGTTAAAATAAGTTTTTGGTCTTTAATCTGGGGGTAAGGAATGGAGGCAAACCCTTGGAGTTTTTTGGTGCAAAACAAAGTCCTGCCAGCTGTAGTTCTAGGTCTTCCTTTGATAGTTTTCATCATCGATCCATCTGGAAGGGTTCTATAAGGTATCATTGCCATCTTTCCTTTCCTTCGACCAACTTTTCCGCTGCAGCTTCGGCGCTGACTGGCAATGCGTTTTCAGCTTTTTGAATGGCACTGGGAAACCCCCCCCTCCCCACCATTCCACTCTCTTTCCCTCTTTTAATGTCATTTTCTCTGGGTTTTTTGTCGTTGTTTATTTTTCGGGTTGTAATTTATTTGGGGCTCGTTGTTGGTAGACGGCATCCCATTGGTTTATGGCTTGTAAGTTGTTTATTATTAATGTTTGGCTTATGCTTGGGCCTCCGGTTTGAGGGGCCCGCACTTGCTGCACTTTACGGGCATGAGCTCATAATGAAGTCATAGTTATCTGCCCCCCCCCTGCCCCCCCTGCCACCCCCCTACCCCCGACTTTGACTCTATTTCTGCTGTGGCTGTGGCCTCTCCCGTTTTTACCATATTTGTTGGCCATAAAATATACGCGTATGCGTCATATTGCGACAATGGTATGTCGCTGTCGCTGTCTCCCTCTCTGTCTCTGTCTCCATCTCTTTCCCACTCATTTTCCGCTTTTCCAGCTTCCAAAGAATCCCGCTCCGCTCCCATTTGCAATCTCTGCTGCATGTTCATGTGTGTGCATTAGCAGCACTTATATAATGCATTGCGTGGCATTAGTCATGGGTTGTCTGCTGCGATATCTGTCTCTCTTTCTGTCTCTCTGTCTGTCTACAAGGCTAGGAGGTGGTCCTATCTCTGTCTCAAGTCCCCTTCCCCTTCCCCATGTTTGCCTCTGGGGTTTGTCGGCTTAACTCCCTTGATACTTGTCGAAATTGAGGAAACTGCCACTTGCTTTGGGTTTCTGTTCACCAAAACTCTGAGAACATCAATAAGGAAATGTGGCGAGTGGTTCTTTGATGAATTTGTATTTAAATATACCCAAAATCGTGGAAAATCACATACTATACTCCAAGAACTTGTCTGTCTTCTGGCAAAGACTATTCAATACCCAAATATTGCATCCAGTAACAAATTCCATTTGAATTTCTCGGCCCAACCTTCTTCTCGGAATGCAACCCTGCTCCCTACTGGGCTTCTTTCTGCCTTGGGCGGCTAAGTCGGTCCCACGGGCCTTGGAGAGGTGCAGAATGGACTTGATTTTCAATCCATAGAGTGACAAAAGTCGGTCCCAAAGAAAGGAAACACAATAGAAGTCTCTATTAATCTATTAAAAAATATAAATAAATATGTTTAAGGAATATGCCAGGCAAATAGCAGGTCAAAAGCTGCAAATCTAGGAGGAGATCTATACATATTAAACGATCTTTAGATAAACAGAGCCATAAACCCACTACAACTACAGATTTACGTAGAAATCTCCCCTTTTGCAGACCATAATATACCAAATTTCCTTGTACACTGCTGGTCAATAGGTTAGACCCACCCGTTCTTGCATTAAAATTTTGAATTATAACTTTTTATTTTTAAAGAATTGAAAAAAGTGGATTCTTGAAATATGTTATTAAAAAAAGTAGAGAAATTTAGCAAAATAATGTTTCTTAAAGCTGTGTTAAATAAGTTACTTATTTCTTGGTCACTAGAAAAGACGCACTACAAATAATTAATTTGTTGAAGGAAAAGTTATTTATATTAAAATTTAATTTTTAGATATAGTAAATCTTCGATGTATTAAAAAAAGAACAAAATAATTTCAATAATGACTACTGCCGCCCTTGTTCGAAATAACGTCATTTAGCCGGTCCTTCATGGAATAAAACAGGGAGTCCACGTAGCTTAGGGAAATCTCTCTCCAGGTTCGTTGAATTTTCTTTCCTCCTTTGTAGCTGCAGATTTTTGTTTTTATTGATTTCGAAATTTCATTGCCGTACACATTCTGCATAAAAGTTTCCCTAAGCTCTTGCTTTCAGCTGTTGGATAAATATTAGTTTCACAACTATCTAATAGTGTTATACCCATTTAAACCAATTGAGCCTGATGTCAATCTGCCGGCAAGCCAAATCATTGGCTCGTTGAAACTCATTTCATTTGACTTTTAGCCAGGGCTGTTTATCTTTGCAAGTTTTCTGCTCGAAAGCCGCAATCTATCTTTAACACTCTCAATTGTCGGTAGTTGTCGGGCAACGTGCAACGCGGTACACACACACTCGCACACACACACGTGCCACAAATGACAAACAGTTGGGGAAAAAGTTTTTAATGAAATGCTAAAAACTTCTACGGGAATAAAGATAGAGACACAGACTGACTGTGAATTTTATTGGGTGGGGGGTTGGGGTGGGGTGGGTGGTTTTTGG